ATTTGATTCAACTTCAGCACTGAATCACGTGTCTTGTTGAGCAGATGTTACTTTACAAAGCAATCAGATTCAGTTTTCACCCGGGGGCCGATAAAAGTAAGAAAGAAACCATCTAGACAGAAAAGTGATAAGAAAAAGACATTTTCTTCATAAAAACTAAAAATCTCTTGTCCATATTGATTACTGTAAAATGTCCCATATCTTAACTCGCTTTTTTGTCTCTCTGAAGTATGTGAAGTACAGTATTTAATCTCACACGATGGTCTTAACTAGGTAAGCGAACGGACGTAAAGCAGTTCACAGGTCTCCATCACCTTATAGCTAAACATCTCCGACTTCCTCACACGCCTCAAGGTCCTCTGGCTTTGTGGTTATGTAATATTATCGTCAGTCACATGCTGAAATCCACTAAACTGAATTAAACAAATCTAAACCGACCCATTAAGCTCCACCGAATCAAGAAACGTGTCTAATTCCCGGTCGTGCCTGGCTTTCCAAGGAACGCGGCTAATCTGGAGCATGTGGGGGAAGAGGAGGAGTCCTGCTGGACTAATGGAGGTCCTGATGGAGGTCTTGTGGTCTCCTTCATGGGTCTCATGACCGAACCAGGCTCTCAGCCAGAGTCAAACACATGACATGGCCGCAAGCTCCATACGGCTCCGACTGAACACTGGAATACCATTAAAAGCCTTTTCAGTGGAAGTGAACGTTGGTGAATTTCTCTTGGGTATCTATCTGAGAAGAAAGGGTTGGAATCAATTATATTTTAGTTGAGGCCAAGAACTTCAAACATCAGGAAAATCTGATTCATAGCAAAACAAATCTGTGTCTAAAACCTTCATGGACAAATCGTTCATAACATATAACTTGCACTATGTATTTACAAAATAAATAGGATGATGTCATGCCATCTTTGAAGATAAATAGGTCAACTTTCTGTGTGTTTTGGACAGTTCAAGTCAAACTGAACCTCGTGAATTGAAAGGAGCCAATTTTTTAATTCTGTATTTCACCCAGCTACAAAAAGTTTCTTACTTAGTATTTTTTGTCTTGTTTTCCAGTAAAAAATATTAAGACAATCTTAAATCAGATTAGATTAAATGTATCATGGTTTCCACAAAAACAAGACTTAATATCTAATAACTAAAATTAATGTATCTGATTTAAGATTGTTTCAGGATTCTTAGATGAATAGAAAGAAGCATTTTTAAATTTTTGTAATATTATAAATGGCTTAATTGTCACTTTTCATTCATTTAATGCATCCTTGCTGAATTAAGGTATTATTTTTCTTGTTTCTTTTTGTTTAATCTTACCCCAATTTTATTTTTTTATTTTTTTACGGTATGTCATGGTTTCCACCAAATATTAATCAGCAAAGGCAGTTTTCACTGTTTTCACTGTGTGAGAGGTGAAGAAATACAGAGAGAAGGACAGAAAGAGATGAATACTAAATGAATGGCACTTTTACAGTCTGCTTAAATAATGAAGGGCTGAAAGGTTCTCACTAAACAGCAGTTTATTCTGGTGAAGAACTGCCCACTTAGACTAAAAAAGCTCATCTTTTTTGTCTTTTTTATTCAATTTCATTCTATATAATAAATCAAGTTTTTTTCATCAATTCATATTTATTAACATTTTGTATCATATGTATGATTTTTCATATATTTTTATTTTCATACATTTATTAATATGCATATTTCATATGTATTGAATATATATTTATATAAGATAGATAGATAGATAGATAGACGGATAGACGGATAGACGGATAGATAGATAGATAGATAGACAGATAGACGGATAGACGGATAGATAGACAGATAGACGGATAGATAGATGGATGGATGGATGGACGGATAGATAGACAGATAGACAGATAGATAGATAGATACAGTGGGGAAAAAAAGTATTTAGTCAGCCACCAATTGTGCAAGTTCTCCCACTTAAAAAGATGAGAGAGGCCTGTAATTTTCATCATAGGTATACCTCAACTATGAGAGACAAAATGAGAAAAAAAAATCCAGAAAATCACATTGGATAGATGGATAGATGGATAGATGGATAGACGGATAGACAGATAGATAGATAGATAGATAGATAGATAGATAGATAGATAGATAGATAGATAGATAGATAGATAGATAGATAGATATAGATGGATAGACGGATAGACGGATAGACGGATAGATAGATAGATGGATAGATGGATAGATGGATAGATGGATAGACGGAGAGACGGATAGACAGATAGATAGATGGATAGATGGATAGATGGATAGACGGAGAGACGGATAGACAGATAGATAGATGGATAGATGGATAGATGGATAGACGGAGAGACGGATAGACAGATAGATAGATGGATAGATGGATAGATGGATAGACGGAGAGACGGATAGACAGATAGATAGATGGATAGATGGATAGATGGATAGACAGATAGACAGATAGATAGATAGATAGATAGATAGATAGATAGATAGATAGATAGATAGATAGATATAGATAGATAGATAGATAGATAGATAGATAGATAGACATGGATAGATAGATAGATGGATAGACGGATAGACGGATAGATAGATAGATAGATAGATAGATAGATAGATAGATAGATAGATAGATAGATAGATAGATAGATAGATAGATAGATAGATAGATAGATCCATATCTACATAACATCCATCCATCTCTCGATTCAGATGAAGGCAGCTCACACAGACCTGTCAGACGAAATGTGTGGAAACCAATGGAAAGTGTCTGGAACATTTTATGGTGGGGCACTAATGCTTTGCTTTTGATATGCATGTGTAACCTTAATGGCAAAAGTAATGAGGTGGTATTGTGGTCTATAGCATTATATCATAGACAGAGTCTTCTCTCTCAGTTAGCAGAGCTCAGTGGAGTGAAGTGGCCTGAATATCTGAGCTGCAGTCACAGGGGAGTGATGCACAGCTGATGGCAACTGCTATGAATGAAAGATACTGAGCACTGATCACAATGTAAATGCAAATAAAGACATTCACCAGGCATTTATAAGATGCACACTAGAATCTGTGCATCCATTATTGGGCTAAATGCAACATTACAAAAATAGTGCGTCAGTATAAGCAGTCTTTTTATCAATATCAGCTGCCACACCTATGAAAATATGTAAATGGCTCAAAAATCTTAAAATTAGTTGAATGGTTTAATATCATAATGTTAACATTACATCACGATTATATAATATCAACAATCTTTCTATATGTATGCTAAGGTGATCTGAGTGATTTTAAACATGCTTAGTTTAATGGTCACAATAACTATAACTATATATATATATGTATATAAATTAAAATTAAAATTAATTTTATACATTTTATAAATTTATCAATTAATTTAGATTTTTATATATATATATATATACACACACAAACACACACACACACACACACATTTATTTATAAATATTAAAATTTTAATACATTTATATTTATTAACATTTATATTTCATATATAATATTGTATATATTTATAACATGCTGTTTTTTCATATATTTATATTTATTAATATTTATATTTTGGAAGGGAATAATAGAATTCATATGCATGTTTGAAAATTGCAGGTTTCCGTTTTTAAAATTAAAGTACGATTGTGTCGTGCCACCAGTTTGGCGCTCATGGTCATGTGTGATGTGATGATTCATATGCACTCCACCAGAGGTCAACAGGAAGAGGAAACGGGTCACACTTTTCTGTCTGTTTAGAAGTTACTGAATGAATCAGCAGTAAAGGATTCTCTTACTTACGTAATGCCTTTCCCTTAATCTGTGTGAATTTGACGAATAAACCTGCATCCATATTGGCACATATGTTTGAAACTCCTCCTCATAGAAATAATATCAGTCTAAAACAATGCCAAAAATCAGAATGATCTTAAAACAAGGCAGAAAGGAAAAGGTCATTTAACAAACCACATTTAGATTTCTTAATTTGTAGTGTTTACTAAAGATGAAGCATCACTTTTATTATTGCTCATTTCAGAGTTACTGATTTGAGTAAGCATAGAAACCAAACACAACACACTTAACCGCATACAAACACTTAATGACTAGAAGCTCCCTTTATGTATTATAAAAAATGTCCCTCTAACACTACTATTTTCTATTCTTTTGACTTGTTTAATTTTTGTTTTAAAAATGACCCTAAAGGTTTCTTGCTTTCTTCATTTGACCCTCTAGCTCGAGCACTCTCTATTCTATTTCTAACATATCTACTTGTTTATCTTTTTATTTATTATATATACCAAAAAACTTGATGGGTGTACTGCGTTCGGCTAACTGAGACTTGTCACAGCACTTACATAATTATTGCCCCTTTGTTGGTTTTGATTGCTGCTGTTGTCCTCATTTGTAAGATTATTTTGATAAAAGCATCTGCTAAATGACTAAATGTAAATATTTTGATGTCAACCGTTACCATGGTTACCCAGAACCATCAATCAATATTTGTTAAAAACAAACGGTACACACAATATAACCTCACAGTGATAAATAATTAATTTTTACATGAATTATTTTTAGAATGTCATCGATATGAATGTATGTTATGAATGTTATCAATATTAATTTTGAGGACGTTTCTTTATCTAAAACTCTGAACTGTCAATCTTTTCTAAAGAAAGGCGGGGCAAAAGTCTCCATATAAGGAAAACGAGGCTTCGGTGACGTCATACACTAGCCAGCGCCCCTTGAGCTGCGAGGCAGTGTTGCCAAGTCCGCAGTTTTCCCGCGGAATTCGGCTATTTTAACACTGTTGGTCTTCATGTCAGCGGCTTGAAGCGACCCCAATAACGTGATATTTATCCCCTGGAGTGCGAATTTTACCAGGGGAACAACAAGTGAACTCGATTTTTACCGGAGGACCCTCTACCGAAACGCGATGAGGTTGATTTTGAATAGCAAGTGGGAGGGTTTTGGTGTGAAAACCTGGCAACCCTGCCCTTAAGCTGGAAGGAGAGCGGCGGCGAGCGCGAGCCTCCACAGGCGAGGATGACGTTGCCGTAAGCCACCTTCAAAAATTGAGGGAAAAAAATAGAAATGCGGAATTAATTTTATTTGCCTTTTTTTCCTCGAGTCATTCGCGTATTTTTATTGTTGTGAGTGAGGAGAATCTCTTTTGGCAGCTGATGTTGGTTTAGAGGGCGTTTTTTTGGAGAGAGAGAGAGAGAGAGAGCGCGAGGGGGCGGGTGTCTCTCGCGCAGCCTCACACAGACGCTCGTGAAATTACCACACGGACGGTTTACTTTCACATTTATCGTTTATTTTTGGGAATTTTTGGATAAACAACACCGTAATCGATGCGCGGCCTTCTAACGGACATTCGCCGCTGATACTACGCCCGCGTTTTTTCTGTTTTTGTGTTTTTTCCCCTCAGTGGAGCGTTCGTTGGGATTCGTTATGAATTCCAGTCCGCTTCCTAACGGCAGACTCCTGCCGGACAGCCAGAGCTGGAACTCCTCCGGTTCCGACGAGGATCTGGATGCCGAACCGGGACCCGGGCCGCACGGAGGGGTGGCGGAATTCGGCGGGGTGCTCAGTAAGGTGGGTTAAGATCCTTCTGACCCGGGAAAGCGTGCGTTTATGTGCGTGTTTCCACCTGATCCGATGTAAACAAACGGCAGGCGGTTGGATGAATGTCACGAAGCCTGTCTAGAAAATGTCCTAATTTTGCCGATTTTAGTAACGGTATTTTGCATGGTGATATTATTTGCATGACAATTAAACCATTTTTACCTATTACCGTAATGTCTTACTTCTGATCTGTTCCTCATTACTGCCTGGACACATGGGTTTTCATAATTAAATTAAGCTCAAACCAAACGCAGTGCAACAGATTCTACAAATACTTAACAGTTTAAATAATATATCATTATATTTTATATTTTCCATGCTGATTTCCAGTACATGGTGACCATATGCTGCTCTTTAGACAGCAAGCCCCAAGGTTATGTTAACCAAGACTGTTTTATGATTGATACTTAATATGTGATGCATGAATATCTTTCTTCATGCATATATAATACAGAAGGTGTGCAGCAGGTTCTGGGCTGAAGCTGGAGTTAGTCAGGGTTACTAGAGTTCATCTGTCTTTTCTTCCTGATGGGATTAGTGGAGAAAACCTCTCCTCATGACTCAGACAGCTGATCGTCTGTTTTTGTGATTACACAAAAGAGATTAGTGGATCATTCCACATGCAATGACCTAAACCCTCGCCCATTTGAAGGATATCTATCTATTTGATAATTTTATCAAATGCTATATTGAACTGTGCATCAATTGTTTATTGTTATTAGGCATCTGTGTGCACACTCTTAGATACAGCTTTTGTTTTCTTATCGCAATTGTGTTTCTCTACAGTGGACTAACTACATTCACGGATGGCAGGACCGCTGGGTCGTTCTGAAGAACAACACCTTGAGTTACTACAAATCCCAGGACGAGCGCGAGTACGGCTGTCGCGGCTCCCTGTGCCTCAGCAAGGCTGTCATCACAGTGAGTATCCAGGGGAAAGATCCTTCCAGACAGCCGTGGGAATTTCAGAGCCGAGCCAAAATTAGAATGATGGTGTGCATTCGAAACGAAAGCTTGAAATGGTTCAAATTAGTGTTGGGTCGTTCTTGAACGATTCGTTCATTTTGAACGAATCTTTAATGTGACTCGGGAAGAACGAGTCGTCTCGGGGAGTGATTCGTTCAGTCTCGCATGCGCAACATCATATAGGTTCTGTACTGGAATTAGTCGAGTAGTTCACCTGTTTCGAGTCTTTGGGTTTTTCCGAGTCGTTCGTTCATCACGTGACAGCCCCATAGGTTTAACCAATGCAGTCTGAGCCGGAAAGAGAACTGATTCGTTCATCTCTCGAGTCTTCGGGTTTGAGTCGTTCGTTCATCACGTGACAGCCCCATAGGTTTAACCAATGCAGTCTGAGCCGGAAAGAGAACTGATTCGTTCATCTCTCGAGTGTTCGGGTTTGAGTCGTTCATTCATCACGTGACAGCCCCATAAGCCCAAACCCGAAGACTTGTCAGATAAGAGGTGAGGTGAGCTAATCATAGATTGAAGACCCAGGTAAACAATGAATTAATCTTTTCTGTTTCTTATAGCAGTTTTGTATTGTTTGTAGTGTGATCAACGTTTGCGTGAGTAGTAGATGTATTAGGGAAGTAACACGTAACATTTTAATGATATTTAGCTAAAATGAACGAAATGACTCGAAAAAAGATTTGTTAATTTTGCTGAACGAGACTCAAAGGTCCGAGTCGGTAAAATGATCCGAACTTCCCATCACTAGTTCAAATTGGAGATTGTCATGCTGGGAGCTCCAGTACTGTAGTTGAATGGAAGTACATGGGATACATGATGTTTTACTGACGATATAGACATTTGTTTTTACTATCAGTCTGATTAGACGCAAGGCATGTGATTTCACATTAATAACCCTGTTTTTGTATATGAATTAGGGGTAAATCTCCATCACGTGCGTGCTTTCATATGGAGTATGAATGCATTATTGAAACTTCACTGATTGTTTTGGGCCATCATGTTGTTTATTGGATGTTAAAAGTTATCTCAAAGTTATAAATAACCATTCTTCCTATAACCTTAATAGAATGTTCGTTCTAGTGTTGTGCTAACGTTCTCAAAACCTTAGCACAAAAAACATTATTTATACATTGTTCATTGTTTTTCTGAAACATTTCAGTTCTCTTTAACATTTCAGAGAACAAGCAAAAAACATTTGCGTAATGTTTGCAAAAATTTAAAACGAAATGTTCCCTAAATGGTTTCTCTAATATTCAAATAACCAAGAATTTTTTTTTTTTTTTAAATTGGATGTTTTGAACATTCTGAAATAACATTTTTATAACTTAATGGGAATGTTAGTATTACGTTCTTAGAACATATTTTTGGTAGCTAACTCTGTATTGCTGCATATCTAGAAATTAGTTATGAACAAATGTTCTTCCAGTAGTGTTAATACAATGTTCATTCTACTGTAAGGTTATCTGATATTTAACAATGTTCTCAAAACAAAAAAACATTATTTATACATTGTTCATTGTTTTTCTGAAACATTTTAGTTGGATGTTTGTCTAATTTTTTTTAACTTGAACTTATGGTGCTGAGAACATTCAAAAGTAGCATTCCCATAATGTTTGCAAAGTGATCAAATGGAACATTCCATTAATTTTATTATTATTATTTTAAGCTGGACATTTTGAATGTTCAGAGAAATTTCAGAAATAGCGTTTAACCAAAATGTTAGCAAAACATTCTTAGAACATATTTTTGTTAACCGGGTCTGTATTGCAGCATCTCTAGAAATTAGATTTGGTATGATGGTTGTGCTTTATCTAAAATGATTATTGCTGAAGCAGTAGATGTGCTGAGAGCTCTTTTTAGGCCAGAGAGGAGAAAAGAGATTGACGGAGGACGGACACAATCCTTTGCCACAGGCAGCCAACTAGCCACAGACAGACTGTGGCCTATTTTCCCCCCATTCATGCTGTAATCACACTTACACACACACACACACACACACCTGCGGAAGCTGCAAGCCACTGTGAATTTGCCTTTCAGCGTGTCATGTTTGACTCAAACTGAGTAAATGCAAATATTGCTGAGTGTATACAGTATCTATAGGTGCTCAGGCGACACGTATGCATTATGCTCAGATTTTGGGTTGATTGCTTATGATCCGATTTGGCTCAGACAACCAGAATGAAATGAGAATTCCCTGCATTGCGTTGAAGATTAACTCATGACCACACACAGACTTCGACATGTGCTGCAGCAGTGCTCAAGCTCTGGCCATATTATCTTGCATCACCACTGAAAATGAGGAAACGGGGCGAAGGTTGTGTTGTTATGGAGACCACTGGAGAGGTACGAGTCCTTATGGTGACCCTCTTACCGTTAGTCCTTTAATGATTAAACCAAAACTCTTACTGAAGATACAGGGAAAGGAACATACTAGTGTTTTCTGATATGTTTTAGCCATAAGAAAGCATAATAAACACCATACATACAGGAAGTGAAGTCTGAAATAGTCAGGCATGGCGATCGAAGGATTTTATAGGTTTGTGATCGTGTGCTCAGCCTGCGTTCAGGTAGTTCATGTTTAAAGCTGCAGGTCACTGCTGTGTGTTCGACATTCTAATTCGATGCTTTGCATTTTGGCTGTGAGCGAGAGAAAAATGGCGCCTTTGTTTCAAGACTTGAGAGTGATTCTTTTCCAGCTATGTATTTGTTGAACTTCAACCCTTATGGTTAGTTGTACATATTAACTTTGGTATTAAACGTAAGCGTGTGGTAGAAATGTGACATTTAGGGTCCAAAATAAACTTTAACATCAGCCAATGGTGAGTGAATTGACAGAATTTATAAGCTATAAATATTCTCTTCTGGCCTTTTTTGAACACTGCAGGTTACTGTTAGGGCTGGACAATAATTCAATATCAATATGTATCGCGATATAATTTTTTTCAATAACGGTGATATGATTTTTAAACACATTTCCGATATTTCTATATACATTACCAGTTTCCCATACATTGATTTATTTGTGGCGTTTGACTTCGTTGAATAAACATAAGCACTGCACGTTTCAAAATCATAACATGGTGCGGGTGTTTTATATGAGTGTATCTCTGAAGGGAACCGACTGTCTTCAGAAAAGTTTCGATGACATTTTCATTTGATCTGATAAAGAATCATTCATGAGTGGAGCTGCTTTCATTACAGCCATTACTGGAGAAACCGCTAGTTTTATCCTTAATGCTAGGAATATTCCTAGTTTTTCAAGAGTTATTCAGTTTGCCACTTTTTGCATTGAATCACGTGTGTTATTTACATCAGTCAGGGTTAGACCCACTCTAACTGTTGGATTTCAACCATGTATTATGTTCCAGTTCCTCATAAATCCTTATAAATACCACTGTGTTTAAATTGTTTAGTTTTTTTTACTCACATTTGGCACGTGGTTACTGTTAGTTTTGCACCCTGGTCACTGGATTAGCATGAGCCTTTCTGTGTAATCTCAAAAAGAGGGCAAAAACAGACAAACATTTTTGTTTATAGTGCATCTAAACCTATTTCTCTCTCTTAGTAAATCTTTCTCTCAGGATGCCGTTCTGGAATACAAAGCAGCTTTATTCAGATTGATTCAGCGCACACACAGCAGCAATCTGTCCTCGTAAATCCTCACAAAAAACAGGTTATTGTGTCACGCTGCTCTTCCTGCCTGCGATTTACGCTGTCCTCACATGACTCACACATACTTAAACCACACACAAATGGGACCACCCTAAAATCAGACTGGCTTAACCCTTGCAGACACAAAAGGATTACACCGTCCACATGAAGACCTGATTAAAACCCAGAGTGCCTCATTGTGTGTCCCTTTAAAACTCTGTCTCGCTGGTTCAGCGTTCAGATCAGCACACAAGCTGGAAATGGTGTTAATTGTGCGTTTTGTGAGACACTCGCGCTGTTGAATTGGACTTGATTAGATTTGTGAATGTCAGACCTCAGGAGATGGAGACGGATTGTGAAAGATCAATCAGTGTGATGACAAAAACAATTTCACAGATTTAATCGGTCTGACAGCAACACCTAACGAATCCATAGTGCTGTTTTACCATTGCCTGATTTCACATGAAAACTCAAGCAATACTTTTCCTATTGCTCATAGTTAAGGTTAGTGATTCGAACAAACTTGTAACCAGAAATTAACTTAACTCCATGAAGGGACAACATTTTTACAACCATTTTAACATTTCAGTTTTTAAAATGACATTATTAAATGTATCCGTGTTGTCTTTTGGTCAAATACTTAAATTAACCGATTACTTCAGTCAATCAGAATGCGATTGGTTATAATGCTCAACACTACAAAAACACATAAAAATCTGATGCAACCTGAGCAGATCTAAATGCAATGCTGGAATCAACACTTTCATTTTCATTCATTTTCACATTTCACATTAATCACGACAGCCAAAATGGATTTAGCTGTGTAGGATTTTTTTTGCATCCTAATCTTGAATTTGGGGGCATTTTTGCCCTAAGCATATATAGGGTTGGGTACCAAAACCCGGTACCAATATGGCACCGGTACCTATGTAACCGGTATGTACTAGAACCGAGTCAGAACGCAGATTTCGGTGCCTCGTTTCGGTGCCATGCCTGAGCGATCGATTGAAATATTTGTCCTCTGGTCCTCATCATCACCGGCACCGCACGGGAAAAATAATTTCCCGACTGAGAAATGCACGTGAATAGAGTCTTCCCCAGCTTAAATTTTTGATTTTGTTAATATTTTTTTCTGAAGAAAGACAGATGTCAAAATGACAATTTTCACCTGAGATTTGGAGCCAAACTACAGGGGGGTGAAAATGACTTTAGAAAATAGCAGCATCATTATTTTTGTTTTACACAGAGATTGGTAGGTCTATTAGAAAAATCTGTCTACTTTAGTAGTCTTTGTTGCA